GACTCTTCATGCAAGGTCATTAATAATCTGTGCCTCTATGTTTGCTTGGGTCATTTTCATATAGACACTGCATATCCCACTTTGTATAGGAGACTAATAGAATATGCATTTTAAAACAATACTTTTATCAGTCTAATTTTTTTTAAATAGATGATTATTCAGCCAATTATTCACACATTAACAATAATTGGAAAAAAGTTTAACATTGTGAAATCTGGCAAACAGTATAAAGCTATAATCACAAAGAAATCTGGCAAATAGTGGAATATCTAAAAGCATAACTATATCATTCTATTCTGCACAGCATTATGCAGCCAGCAACAAAGAGGAAAAGTAAAGGAATGTGATCCAAATGTTATAGCAAAGAACACTAGGGAAAACATCAAACAAAATATAAGCAAAATGAAGACACCTTACCTCCGTTCCCCCTTTCCACCACCTAGTTTAGCACAAAATGCCGCAACAATCTTCTCATCAGCATTGCTGTTGAATCATACACAAAAATGAATGAAGAAGACAATCAGGAAAAGAAAAAGGAAAAATATAATTCAATTCCTTGAACAGAAAATCCACATATTCACAATATGTTTGTCACAAATATCAGTACTTTTCATAGATTCAAATGATAATTACAATATACCTCCTCATATTCATCATCAGACCAACTAAAGGCTGGGATGAACGTGCGAGCACTGCTCCAGTTCCTATTATTCACACCACATAACACAATTAAATATGAATATTTTAACAGAATAGGTCTACAAAAATCAGAAAGAAATCCCACCAGGATGACACCAAGAGACTACAGGCAAGCGACACCTTGCCCGAAAAGTGGAGGCCTGAATCACTTCTTCATCGCTTCCATCAGCAGCCATGCAAAATGAGTTGCACAATTAGGTCATAAAGACAAGAAAATGAACTGATACAGTTTATACAAAAAATACAAAACAAAAAAATAGAATTTGGCTTTCTTTCCTCTGTTGCAGGAAAATATTTCAGTGTGTTACCTAATACATTTTGGAAGAATCAAAGCAAATGGGTAAGTCGAACACAAGGAATAGTTGGCATTTATATCACTTATCCTCCATAACTCATTAGACAATGTAAATACCCCGTCTTCAATCATATTTATCGATGCTCGTTTTGACGTTCTTCCGATAAGACGAAAATACTCATTCAACAACCGCACTTTTGGGTTTGTATTATGGAATCTGGAAGCCCCAGAAGTAAAAGCGTAGAGGTCCCAGATTCTAAGTGGCTTTGTGCACCTCAGTAATGCATCAAACACAGCGCGCCTCTATAACAAAAAATAATTCCTACATCAGGTTTCTACCATATGCATCACTAAAGCTCCACCAAAAGGAATATCCATTATAAATAAATTATTCATTTGAATTTGAATTGTCAAAGACAAAAGAACCCTTTTCCGAGGACAGTGCTAATTCTCTCTTAAAAAGAATATTTAACCAAGAAATATGAGAACTACACTTCATCAGAGATAAAGAGGTAACAAACAAATGTATATGCACACACAAGTTAGTAATATAATAAGACTTTAACCAGATCCAATACAACCATCCCATTCCTCGACAAATTGAATGCAACTTTTCAATAACTACAAACATTTCCCTTTATCCATGAGATCAATAAGCATGACTCCATCCTATTGATTTTGAGCAGTATTTAGGATTTTACCAGTCAAACATCAAATCTTGAGAAGAGTGACCAGACAGGAAAGAGAATGTTTTTCAACCTCTCAAAAATAATCTTACACCCTCAAAGTATTTTCTTTCATCCGAAATGCATCTCAAAAGGAAGCTTAAGCCCCACCATAGGTATAGAAATAACCAAGTGATATCTTTCTCGGCCTTTTGGCTAAGATCAAGTATAGTATCTGTTTTTATCATAAAATAACCAAGTGTTCATGTATAAAAGATTGGTTGTTATCTTTCTTTCTAGGAACCTATTCTTCATGGAACTACCACATTTCTTTGAGACCCATCCCAGATGAACATTGCAGATATGTACATAGAAACCAGGGAGACTTGATCTGCATCAGCATAGACAACTGATATTACACAGGTGGCATCTTTTCCCTAACACCAAATCCTCACTGAATATTTTTTTTCTGGGGAGAAGAAAAAGCCCTATGATGTACGAAAGGCATAAACAGGGCCACCCATGCAGAAGAGAGTAGAATATTCAATCAATATATTTATAAGCCCCCCTAAATCTCAGTGAAGATGATGAATGTCCTCTTATGTCGAAACACAAGTTTAGAAGCCTTGGACATGTATTTCCCATTTTGTTTATATCACCAAAATAATTCACAGCTACATGTACAGGATTTTTCTTAACATCAGAAGACCTGGAACATCTAACATATGATCAAGAGTTTGAGGCATACTGATACGGTATGAGTTAACTTTAATTCTTCTAACTAGATTAGAAATTATAACACCATTAAATATAAGAATCCTATATTATTTAGAAGTTCATTATTATAGTTTTTGCAACTCTAGGATTTTATTCTTATTACTATTTAGTTTTCCTATTCATATTGGTAGTACTTTCTATTCTTATTAGGAGTAGTATTTCCAATCTTATTTGCTTCATTATTTTTTAGTTTAATCTTATTTAACAAAAGTACATTAAAAGCATTATCCATATCTGGAGATAGAATTAAGTTATTCAATAAAATATTTCAAAGCGTCTCAATTTTCTGATTGTATAATGCAACTAAACTCTTAAACATGATATCTAAGACTTTTTAAATGTGATGTTTAACAAAACCTTACGTGTAATGTCAGGATTTTGTTCCCCATATCTCTAAGTGACAAATCAATCATATCAATGTAGTATCATAATCAAAAGAATCTTACACCTAAAATATCAAAACATACACCATCTGAGGAAAAAAAAAACAGAAAATTACCTCTCAAAAAAATCCCAAAATCACAAAACATTAGGGGCAACGTCTAGGTTTTAACCCTAGATCCTTAAGTGAACAATTTACCCCTATTTTTCCTACATCACATCCTCTGTTGGAAGAAAAACTAACCTGCTTTGTTCGAGGGCGAAAACCAAAGACAATAACCCTCATATCTTTTCCTGCAAGACAAAATATACTTCTTCAAGTCTTTGTGAAGGATTCAAAGTAAGCCTAATTTCAAAAGCCTAATGCAATTTCAAGTATAATATACAAGATCCATAAAAAACCAAAAAAATCTTGTAAAGGGGAAGGGATGGGATCAGGGGTGCGGCTTAGTAATTTTAAAAGGTATAAATTAATTGACCTATATAAATTATAGATTTCTTTTATTTTCTATTGGGCTGGAGACCTAAAAATTCAATTTCCAAACCTTGCCCAAATGTCATTGGGCCTCTTTTTAGCACAGGCCTTACTACATGCAGCAAATCATGTCTACGCCCATAAAAGTTGTGGGCCGGCTTGCAGGCTTGGAAGGGTTTGGGACAATGAATACTTCTACGTACAGGTTAGGTGTTAAACCTAGATATCTTAAGTCAATAGACCAAAGAATTATCAGAAAATCTAAGCTACAGAGAAAACCAAATTTTCTGAATAATTGTATTGAAAAAACAATGATTCATCAAAGAGATTACAAGATCCTCCAATCTAACCTAACTCCACAAACAACAAGAAAACTAGACAAAATTCAACTCATAAGCAAATCCTTTTTTCTTTGAGATAAAAAGAATGTGTATTAAACATACGACACCAAGGGGATGTAACCATGTATAAAATAACTCATGAACAAATCCTACGAGTGCTAGAATGCAAAGAGCTATAAACAAAAATCATAAATTAAATTTTTAGCTATGGAGGAGCACCGTGTAGAGATGATGGAGGGGGAGGGGAATGGAAGAGAAAAGTGTCGCTTTCTTAACTATTTGTGACAGAGTTTTGAAAAAGCCATAAATGTTTTTTAATATACTTCCCTCATCTACATTTCTATGGGTAATGTACCGAATAAATATTTGAGATATCTGCATCTCCATAAGTTAGATTCACCAAAAGCATACCAACTATCTGGAGAAGCCGTTGTGATGGAGTCTTGTCAGTTTGACGAGCAGTTGATTGCACCTTCACGACCTATATGGATTCCGCCAAATCAATTATAAAAAGTACAAGTTCCACACCATCAAACTCCTTGCTTCTAGCTAGCAGCCTACCACAATATAAAAGTTTGCTGGAAGAATAAAGATACAAACCCAAAGAACTAACCATTTTGTTGAACTTCTCAATAGTTGCCAAAGGAATTGTACCAAGTGGGATGATATCTCTGGTTCCTTCACTCTTGAAAGGAAAGAAAAAGTATAGATTAGTCATATGAAAAGATATATCATCAAATCAGAAAAACAAAAGGCAAAAAGGCCATGTAATAAAATGCATGCAAAAAATACATATATAAAGAAACAAAAATGTAAAACTAAAATGATGAACATGTAACCATACCTATAAAAGGCAATATGTTTTAACTGAGTTACTGAAATTTCCAAGCTACAGATGGTATAAGGGTTAATAATGTGATTGAATTTGAGCTAAATATTGAACAGCC